AGGAAGGAAGGAAGGAAGGAAGGAAGGAAGGAAGGAAGGAAGGAAGGAAGGATCGAACTGCTGGCAGTGGGCAGAATTAGCCTGCATTCTCACCACTAGTTAGAAAGATCATTTTCAACCAATTGAAATGAGCTCTTTCAAATTTAGTGGTCAGGTTCGAAACAGAGCTTTTTTTTTTTAAAAAAAAAATACAACCATTTCAGAATCCCAATGCTGTACATTTCTACATATTAAAAACCTGAGGTGAAAAAAATAGAATGATTGGAATAACAAATGATTGGAATTAGTCTAAGATATCGTAGATGCGAGAAGATTTTTTTTTTTCATCTGACAGCCGTGCCTGCAGTAGCTGTATAGAATCACCAAACATGTAATTATTAAGCAAAGTTGCACAGAAAAACGAATCTATTAAAGTGTTTGTCAGTTGCATGGGGGAAAAAATGAGTACTTTTTTCATGTTTAAGAAAGAAAGAAAAAACCCAGAAAAGTTGGATGGAAGAGATTTATGATTACATAAATCCGGTCACAATTCAAGGTGTTGGTTATTACCTTTAAAGCCCTACATGGCTCAGGGCCAGGTTATCTTCGAGACCGCCTTCTACCGCATAGCTCCCAGCGACCGGTAAGATCCCACAGAGTTGGTCTCCTCTGGGTCCCGTCAGCTAAACAATGCTGGCTGGCGGGCCCGCAGGGGAGGGCCTTCTCTGTGGCTGCCCCAGCTCTCTGGAACCAGTTACCTCCTGAGGTCCGGACCATCCCCACCCTATTGGCCTTCCGAAAAGTTGTGAAGACCTGGCTTTTCCGGCAGGCCTGAGGCCGTTGATCTCACTCTTGCGATCTGGCGAGATCCGTCCATGAATGGTGTGAATGGGTTTTAATTGTTTTTAATGTTTTTAATTTTTAAATGTTCTTTTTTTAATTTGATTTATATGCCGCCCTTCTCCGGAGACTCAGGGCGGCTTACAATGCGTTAAGCAATAACCTTCATCCTTTTTGTATATTTATACAAAGTCAACTTATTGCCCCCACAAACTGGGTCCTCAATTTACCTACCTTAGAAAGGATGGAAGGCTGAGTCAACCTTGAGCCTGGCGAGATTCGAACCTGCAGTAATTGCAGACAGCTGGTCTTAATAACAGGGTGCTTTAGACCACTGTACTACCAAGGCTCTATTTATTAGGATTTTAAATGTATTGTGAGCCACCCTGAGTCTTAGGAGAGGGGCGGCATATAAACTGAATTAAATTGAATTGAATTGAAAAATTGAATTGATTAAAGATGCATACGACTGTCTCTTCTGCCCATGAAAATGTTTTTCTCTGACCAGTCAATACACTTGATTAATTTACAAAAATTTGTAGACGATCTTTCAGGATAATTACCTTTTCTGGGTTGAGTCTAACCCGAATAGCTAACTGATCCTCCTTTCGTTCAATTAACATCCATTATCCTTAGAGAGAAATGAAACCTGCTTATTTTGCCACCATGGAAACAATTTAAAAGGGATTTAGAAGAAGAGAAATTTACTCTTACCTGTTGAACAATGGTAGTGAGTTCCAAGCAGAGCTGAACAATGTTATTTTTCAGCAGCGAGTATTCTGTCACACTGACAAATGGGGACCTATGGAAAAGAGAGAATTTTAACATCTGAGTTCATTTATCACTGATAATTCCCGTAATAAGACAAGCTTTATAAACAATTCATCCTAGTCAACAAACGGTGAGGAATGAACCTTGAAAACACAGATTTGTTCCACTCTGGTGGAGTGTCAATAGAAACATGTCAAAATCATCGTCACCAAGAAGTTGGTTAGAAAAAGCTCTTAAGTAGTTTCACCTTTGCCTTCTGCAATATTGCATCGAGAATAGGCCTGCACCCCAGGTGAAAATCAGCTGGATTGGATTCCGAAGATAAATTCTGTGGGTTCAGTTGCAAATCTTCATAGCAGCCAGCCTAGGTTACAATACGAAGCCTTCTGCTACTGCTCCATAAGTGTGAGGGAGGGACTGAGTTAGTAGTGAGTTGCAAATTCCGTCGCTATGGGTTCGCTCGTGTGCAATGATTTTGTGCATGCACAGAAGCATCTGGGTAGGTGGGCGGAGCCTCCCATCACCGCTGCTACCAGTTTGCCTGATCCGGGGTGAACCGGTAGCAACCCACCACTGGACTGAGTGGATAGATCTGTTATTTTATTGGTTGGTTTTTATCCCACCTTTAACAGATTAACAGAGTTGGAAGGGACCTTGTAGGTCATCTAGTCCAACACCCCCCCAAGCAGGAGACCCTACACCATTTCTGACAAATGGCAGTCCAGTCCCTTCTTGAAAGCTTCCAGTGATGAAGCTCCACAACATCTGAAGACAAGCTCTTCCATGGGTTGATTGTTCTCACTGTCAGAAAAGTTCTCCTTATTGCCAGGTTGACTCTCTCCTTGTTCAGTTTCCATCCATTATTCCTTGTTTGGCCTTCGGGTGCTTTGGAGAATAGCTTGATCCACTCCTCTCGGTGGCAGCCCCTCAAATACTGGAACACTGCTATCATGTCTCCCCTGGTTCTTCATTAGAAGTCACTAGGGTTGACTAGGGTCTCCAACATCCCTTTCGACTGAACAGCAAATGTGGAATAAAACTGATTATTATTACCAAGATGGGTTGGGCTGAGAGAGTGATTGGCTGAAAGTCATCCAGTCAGCTTTCAAGTCCAAGGCAGGACTAGAATTTACATTCCTCTAAATGATTGGCTCAAAGTCACCCAGCTGGCTTTCATGTCCATGGCAGGATTAGAACTCACAGTCTTCTGGTTTCTAGACCCCCCACTTTAACTGCTACACCAAATGGGATCTTCCTATGTTAACTTCTCTTCCCAGAACCCTGCTGTTTGGTCAGTTATTTCAACTCTAGTGAAATATCCAGGACATCCTGGACATAAACTGTTTCAACTCCTACCCTCAAAACGATGCTATAGAACACTGCACACCAGAACAACTAGGCACAAGAACAGTTTTTTCCCCAAACGCCATCATTCTGCTTAACAAATAATTCCCTCAACACTGTCAAACTATTCACTAAGTCTGCACTACTATTCATCTTCTCATCTTCTCATCGTTCCCATCACCCATCTCTTCCCACTTATGACTGTTTGACTGTAACCTTGTTGCTGGTATGCTTACGATTTATAATGATATTGTTTCCTGATTGCTTATTTGTAACCTATGACTATCATTAAGTGTTGTACCTTATGATTCTTGATGGACGTATCTTTTATTTTATGTACACTTTATGTACACAACCAAAAGCGTATGCACCAAGACAAATTCCTTGTGTGTCCAATCACACTTGGCCAATAAAAATTCTATTCTATTCTATTCTATTCTATTCTATTCTATTCTATTCTATTCTATTCTATTCTATTCTATTCTATTCTAATCAGAACTATGGACTTATGAGCATTGTTTTGACTTTTCCCCCCCTTCAAATCACCAATTTTCGCCATTTTCTAAACTGTATCAATTATGATGATAATTGTTCTGCTTTCCAGGTGGAGGATATATAAGCTATCTTCAGAGGGGCAGTTGAGGACTCTTCCTTACCTAGGTTGGACTGCTGATATTGAGATATTTCCAGCACAACTGTCTACAATTCAGTTAATCCAATTAATCAACTGAATTAAACTAGTTCAATGAATTCAGTTGCAATCCTTCACTCTTAGGATTTCAGCTCACCTGGTAATGATAACATAGAAAGCACGCAGAGAACTTCCATTTGATTCCAAGAACAAATCCTTAAAGACTAATGCAAGAATTTTTGGAAGGAATAGATAGGTACCAATGCTTACCATGAAAAACTGTTATTTTCCCCCCCTTCAATTTAACAAATGGCAGTTCACCTTCCATGATCAATTGCAGCTTATCAACCCTCCTGAAGAGTAGATAAGGTAGCTCTCAGCTGCTTCTGGGTAGCCCATAAATCTGACCACTTCAAGTCTGTCTGGATTTGCAGTTTCAAACTGGATGGTGCTAAAAATATCCAGTCCCGTTAATTTTTCTCTTAGCAATGCCACAGAGGAAAGGAGTAAAATCTCCCTTCCAGATGTTTTTCAGAAAATGCACGTCTGTTTTCTTCAATGGCCATCACTTACCTTCTTTTGCATTCTGTGGCTTAATCAAATCTAATTAGTTTATCCCAGATGGAAGATGGAAGAAGAGCCTTGGTGGTGCAGCGGACTAAGTGCTGTTAAAGTAGCACTTAGCTGCCAGCTGCCTGCAATTAGTGCGAGTTCAAATCTCACCAGGCTCCAGGTTGACTCAGCCTTCCATCCTTCCGAGGTAGGTAAAATGAGGACCCGGATTGTGGGGGGCAATAAGATGACTTTGTAGAAACATCGCTTATGGGGGGGGGCAAAAGCCCTAATAAGCAGGTATATACAAAAGAATGAAGGCTATTGCTATAAGTGCATTGTAAGCTGCCCTGAGTCTTCGGAGGAGGGCGGCATATAAATTGAACTAATAAATAAATAAGTAAGTAAGTAAGTAAGTAAGTAAGTAAGTAAGTAAGTAAGTAAATAAATAAATAAATAAATAAATAAATAAATAAATAAATAAATAAGGTGCGATGTATGGATAAGGGCTCACACTTTGATGCTCTTCCTCAAAATCTTGAAGTAATAGTTTAAGCAAACAGCAGAACAGGGTTGAAGAGACTTGGAGGACTTCTGGTCCAACCTCCTGCTCAAGCAGGAGACCCCGTACCATTCCATATAAATGGTTGTCCAATCTGTTCTTGAAAACCTCCAGTGATGAAACAACCACAACTTCTGGAGATAAGTCATTCCACTGATTAATTGGTTTATGCAAATAGGAAAATGTCTTGAATTAACCAACCCAAAACTCCTGGTGACTGCCTGAACCCGTCCCTGCAGTTTTCTTGGCAAAGTTTTTTAGCCATGGTTTGGAAGGGACCTTGGAGGTCTTCTAATCCAGCCCCCTGCTCAAACAGGAGAACCTATATCAGGGGTCAGCAACCTGTGGCTCTGGAGCCGCATGTGGCTCTTTCATCCCTCTGCTGCAGCTCCCTGTGGCTCAAAATATGCGTCACAACTGCCAATGTGTGACACCTGCCGGCACATGATTTATTGAGCTTTTCGACTCCCAGTAAGCCAACCATGGATAAATCCAAGAAAAGTAAAGTTTCAGAAGAAAACAGAATGTTTAATTCGACTACATATGCTAGTTTTGTGGCCTCTCAGGAAATAGTCAGGCACAGGAAGGGTTTTGTGGCTCCCGGTGTTTTCTTTTCTGTGGGAAATGGGTCCAAATGGCTCTTTGAGTGTTTAAGGTTGCAGACCCCTGATCTATACCATCTCAGACAAGGTCTCTTCTTAAAAACATCCAGTGATGGATGTTTCACAATTTCTGAAGGCAAGCTGTTCCGCTGGTTAATTGTCCTCACTGTTAGGAAGTTTCTTCTAAATTCCAGGTTGCTTCTCTCTTGGATTAGTTTCCAACCATTATTTCTTCTTTGTCTTGCTTTCTCCTTCTTAGGGCTAAGACAATTCTCCCAGCTAGCTTTTTGCCTAAGGCAGGACCAGAACTCACTGTCTCCCGGTTGCTAGCCTGACCCCTTAACATCCCACCCCCCAAACTGACTGTCTAATGAGCTTTTAGCAATTTAAATTCTGACTTATAAATAGTTATCCACTTCTAATTATACAACTGCTGCATAGGATTGGAATTGTGATTGGAAAGTCCAGTAAATCATCACCATCATCATTTTTCAGAGAGAACTATGCATGCAAAAGATGTCAAGTTCAATCCATAACATTTCGAGTTAAGGTTGGAACAATTCCAACTTCAAACCCTGGAGAATTGCCAACAATAGTATTAGAGTCAGGAACTGTGTTCCCAAAACTTGATAATTTCCAAAAATGTGAACTTCAAGTCCCAGAATGTTAAGCAATGGACAGCCTGGCTGGGTCCACATCAGGGGTGAAATCCAGCAGGTTCTGAAGAACTGGTAGCGGAAATTTTGAGTAGTTTGGAGATCTGGCAAATGCCACCTCTGGCTGGTCCCAGAGTGGGCTGGGAATGGAGATCTTGCAGTATCCTTCCCCTGGAGTGGGGAGGGAATGGAGGTTTTGCAGTATCCTTTCCCTGGAGTGGGGAGGGAATGGAGGTTTTGCAGTATCCTTTCCCTGGAGTGGGGAGGGAATGGAGGTTTTGCAGTATCCTTCCCCTGCCACGCCCACCAAGTCACACCATGCCCACCAAGCCACGGCCACAGAACCGGTAGTAAAAAAATTTGAATTTCACCACTGGTCCACATAGTTGGGAACTCATGGTTGGGAATAACAGAATAACAGAGTTGAAAGGACCCCTTGAGGTCTTCTAGTCCAACCCCCTGTTCAAGCAGGAGACCCCATATCCTTTCCTACAAGTAGCTGTCCAATATCTTCTTAAAAACTCCCAGAGATGGAGCACCCACAACTTCTGAAGGCATCCCACTGATTAATTGTTCTGTCAGGAAATTTCTCCTTATTTCTAGGTTGCTTCTCTCCTTGATTAGTTTCTAATCATTGTTTCTTGTCTTTCCTTTGGAGAGTAGCTTGACCCCCTCTTTTTTGTGGCAGCCCCTCAAATATTGGAATCCTGCTATCATGTCACCCCAGTCCTTCTGTTTTTTATACAATATGAAATGTGTGTGTGTGTGCAAAGTCTGTTATGTGTGGAGGAATGATTGATGAAGATGATGGTGGAACTTGCAGAGATGGCTAAATTAGCTTCTTTGATTGGAGAAAAAACAGTTATCTACAGATGCATTTAGAAACAGATGCATTTAGGAACTGTGCTTTTGATGATTAGAAAAAATAAATAAATACTCCAGATAATAGTAAAGAGGGCATTCTTTTGTAATCATAGATTAAGAGATAATGTTGTAATTATACTTATTTATTAGATTTTATCCCTCTTTATTACTTTAGAAGTAACTCAAGATGGCAAACATCATTAATACTCCTTCCTCCTCCTATTTTCCGTATAATATCTACCCCAAATAATTAGTGAGTTGGGGAGAGAGAGAAGGAGGGAGGGAGGGAGAGGGAGGAAGGGAGGGAAGGGGGAGAGAGAAAGAGATCATAGATGAAAAGGTAATTTTGTAATTATACTTATTTATTAGATTCCTTCCTCCTCCTATTTTCCCTATAATATCTACCCCAAGTAACTAGTGAGTTGGGGAGAGAGAGAGGGATGGAGGGAGAGGGAGAGAGAGAGGGAGGGAGAGAAAGGAGGGGGAGGGAGGGGGAGAGAGAGAGGGAGAGAGGGAGATGGGGAGAGAGAGGAAGGGAGAGAGAGGGAGAGAGAGAGAGAAGGAGGGAGGGAGAGGTAGAGGGGGAGAGGGAGGGAGGGAGAGAGAGAAAGAGATCATAGATGAAGAGGTAATTTTGTAATTATACTTATTTATTAGATTTTATTACTTTAGAAGTAACTCAAGATGGCAAACATCACTAATACTCCTTCCTCCTATTTTCCCTATAATACCTACCACAAATAACTAGTGAGTTGGGGAGAGAGAAAGGGAGAGGGAGAGAGAGGGAGGGAGAGAGAGGAAGGGGGAGAGAGAGGGGGAGGGAAAAAGGGAGGGAGAGGGAGGGAGGGAGAGTGGGGGAGAGAAAGGGAGAGGGAGGGAGGGAGGGAGGGTGAGAGAGGGGGAGGGAGAGGGAGGGAGGAAGGGAGAGAGAGGGGGAGGGAGAGAGAAAGGGAGAGGGAGGGAGGGAGAGAGAGGGGGAGGGAGAGAGGGAGGGGGAGAGGGAGGGAGAGAGGGAGGGACGGAGGGAGGGAGAGAGGGAGATTGGCCTAAAGTCACTCAGCTGGCATTCATGCTTAAAGTGGGACTAGAACTCCCAGTCTCCTGCAAAGGAAATTGGAAGTTCCTCCTGCCTATGTCTTTTTATTTTTTCTTTCTGTATTTCCCATTTTTTCTTTCTTCTTCCTTTATTTACTGCCTTTGCTCTTATCACTTTGTGTTTCTCTTTATGTTCTTTGTCAAACTTTTAATTAACATTTATGAAAGAAAAGTACAAGATTTCAAATCTAGCCCCCCCAACTCCAAAAGGGCAGCTCGTTCTAACATCCAAATACTAATATATATATATATATATCCACCAGTCGTGAACGAAATTGCCAAAGGGCAAATGGAATGCTGAAGACAGAAGGAGAGAACTGCATTTGTTCCTTAAAAAAAATAAATAAATAAACAGTATTCAAACTCAATTACCTGTCTAACCAGGCAAGCAAATTTTTGGCAGCACCGATCAAGTCAACGACGGAGGTAAGGAAATCATTTGGCAATCTTCGGGAGGCTCGTCCATCATAATGACCGCTCCTCCTTCTACCTGTGATGAAGTTTTGAAGATTTTTGGCGGATGCATTCAGCTTGTGGGAAAGTGTTCTCAAATTTTCAGTCTCCAAGCCATAGTTCTGAAAGCAAGAGAAAAATTGGACACATTAAATAAGAAAAAGGAAAAGGAAAAGGAAAAGAAAAAGAAAAAGAAAAAAGGAAGGGGAAGGAAGGAAGGAAGGAAGGAAGGAAGGAAGGAAGGAACGAAGGAAGGAAGGAAGGAAGGAAGGAAGGAAGGAAAAAACCCACTTCAGATAAGTTGACCCAGCTTTCATTTTGCACCAATTTCAAGCCACAAAAATACCCAATGCATTTTAAATATATAGGTAGGTCTTCCTTTTCTTATGACCACAATCGAACTCAAAATTTCTGTTGCTGGGCCAGGCAGTTGTTAAGCGAGCTTTGCCCCATTTTACAACCTCTTTTTTTTGCCACAGTTGTTAAATGAATCATGTGGCTGTTAAATGAATCTGGCTCCCGCCTTTGTTTGGAAACGACTGAGTTATTTTAGTAAATTTAAGTTTTGTATAGACTTTGTGTGGGCTGTGTTCTTTGGGGTCTGTAGCTGGGGCAGAGCAGTGACTACTATTTTGAGATCACCCAGGAGCAAAATACAGGACACAGAGGTTTGTTTTACAAACAGTGATTTATATACAAGAATTCTATATACAGACATACAAGTGGTAGGCACATACCAGGCAAGCAATCATTCTTCAACTCTACACGGAGAACTACAATGCAGATACATGAGGAGAGAGAGAGAGAGAGATGCCCTCTAATGGCCTCCCTTATATAGACAGCTTCTTAAAGGGCATGACTGCTGACTCATCTGCAGTCTTGAAGGGGTGGTCAGCTTTAAATCACCATTAGCCTGACACATTGCACGTGTGTGTGGATGGCACACACAAGCGAGTAAATTGCTGTGTTTTGTGACGTCGCACGCGCTCACATTTTCGGGGCCGGGCAAATTGGTTGCTATGGTATGTGAATCCCACATCTGACATTTTATTAATCCAGCATATGAACTGTTCTGTTTAAATTTGCCACAACAGTTGCTACAGCTAGTGATTTATGACTTATTGATGTTGGTTTGCAGTCACTGACTTAAGAAAAGGGATAAAAGCCTTAATAAGAGCCGAGGTGGCGCAGTGGTTAGAGTGCTGTACTGCAGCTATTTCAGCTGACTGCTAGTTCAGCAGATCAGCAGATCAAATCTCACCGGTTCAAGGTTGACTCAGCCTTCCATCCTTCCGAGGTGGGTAAAATGAGGACCCAGTTTGTGGGGGCAATAAGCTGACTTTGTATAAAAAAGAACACTGCTTAGGGGGGCCCAAAAGCCCTACTAAGCAGGTAAATACAAAAGTATGAAGGCTATTGCTTAATGCATTGTAAGCCGCCCTGAGTCTCCGGAGAAGGGCGGCATGTATAAATCGAACTAATAAATAACTAAATATTGGATGGATATCTATTTTGCAATTTCTCAGCCACCTGCAAAAGAGGTGCTCTTTCTAGTCTTTTGAGAGAAGTTTGAGAATTCCTCCTCTATTTCTTTTGTTGGTGATGTCTCAGAGTATATTACCTAGGGAAGAGTCATTCAAAAGCTTGCAACTCACCATAAATATAAGCTATGGTTTGTACGTTTTGATGGGCAGTTCCCTAGGATTTGACAGAAAAGTGACAGGATCAGCGATGCTAAGTCTCAATAAAGGAGAATGTTTGGAGCTCAGAGTTGAAATGAGGGTGCTCATTTGGTGCTCTCTGAGCTTGCTTGTTTTCTTGCAGATGTTTCATTACTCAAACTAAGTAACATCACCTGTGCTAGAGAGGAGGGGGGAGGGGGAGAGGGGAGGGGAGAGACGGAGGAGGAGGAGGAGAAGGAGAAGAAGAGGAAGAGGAAGAAGAGGAGGAGGAGGAAGAGGAGGAGGAAGAGGAGGAGGAGGACTGTGGGGTCCTTGGTGTTCTCTGAGTTTGGTAGTTTTCTTCCAGATGGAGGAGGAGGAGGAGGAGGAGGAGGAGGAGGAGGAGGAGGAGAAGGAGGAGAAGAAGAAGAAGAAGAAGAAGAAGAAGAAGAAGAAGAAGAAGAAGAAGAGAAGAAGAAGAAGAAGAAGAAGAAGAAGAAGAAGAAGAAGAAGAAGACGACGAAGACTGTGGGGTCCTGAGCTTGCTTGTTTTCTTGCAGATGTTCCATTACCCAAACAAGGTATCACCATCAGTGCTAGTAATGAGTGTAGTTTGCTGACAATTTATATTCTGGTGGCTTGCCTTGTCGGTGATGGTGGGGGAGGTCTTAGACTTAGAGATTCTTTGGTTGGGTTGTTTACTGTTGGCTTCTTTGACAGTTTCTTGATTGGGGTCTTGTTTACTTGATTGATGGTCTGGAAGTTAATCTATGGTGATCTGGGTGTTGAGAGCTGGTTGGGGTATGTTTGTTTGTTTATTTGTTCTCTTTTTGGCTGCTAATTTTCTCTTTTGCATAGTCTATAGATGTTGTTAATGTCTATGCTGGCTTTTATTGATGGCTAATTTGTCAAAGTTTGTCAAAGGCTTCCAGAAATTCCCTGGTGTTTTTGGACTTGGCTTGGTCTAGGATGGTCATATTTCCCAATTGAAACTAGGGTTAAGCCTCTCTACATTTTGTGAAATTAAACAATGTCCATCATGTCTTCTGGCTGCTACAGTAGTGGCCAAAATTGTGGAAACCTTTTGGGAAAAGTGTATTTTTGAGGTTTGATGGCTAATAATATCACTTTTTTGGGGGGGGGAGTTTCAAGATAATCCTATTCCACTGCTGGAATGGCCTGGGAATAGCCCAGACCTTCACCCAATTGAAAATCTATGGAGCCAACTAAAGAAAGTTGTTAGTCAGAAGCAACCCAGCAATAAAATCCAGTTAATAGAAGCCATCATTCAATCTTGGTTTCACATTGTAACAGCTGCAGAACTCAAAGACTTGGTTCACTACATGGGAAGATGTTGTAAGGTGGTAATTCATGATAAAGGTTACCCAACTAAGGATTAGCTAACGTGATCATTTTTGTATATGTCATTTTTTCTATGGTGATAATTTTTGTACAATATAGCTCATTTTTTCTACATGTTTCACTTTTCTTCTGTATACTGTAACTGCTATTATAGGAGCAAATCCTTCATAAAAGTTATTGCAGTACGTTCTTGATTAAATTATCTTTCCATTGATATATAATTTTATGGTACTACTCCAAAAAAAAAAAAAAAGCGGTGTTATTAGCTAGTTTTAGAAAATAACTTTCCCCAAAAGGTTTCCACAATTCTGGCCACTACTCTAGTTGCTGTTTGTGGATGAATTCTGCCAGCCTTCCACCTTTTTCTCCTGCTGCTAAGTCTGCTGCGATAGAAAATATTGTTGCGAGAGCTCTTTCTCCAAAGAGGGAAAGGTGTTGGTTGTTTCCCGCGCTGAGAAGGTAGCACATCGGACAAGAAGCGGGAGACTGTAGGGAAAATTGTTATCTGTTGCTATGTTTTTATTTCCCCCTTTGCTTCTCAGTTAAACACGAGGCGACCGCGAGATCCTTTTACAAAACATGGGAAAATGTTAAGTGTCTCTCCGTGTCACTGCAAACAGAAACAGGGAGGGGAATGTAAAAAGCCACTGTGTCAAAAGGCAACAGTGCTGTGGGAATCAGGTTGAATCAGAAGGCTACCTTAAAACCCACAAATGTGACAATACTTTTTGCAGTTCTGCTGTAAAATAAGGCCAGTTGTCTTATCAGTGGTGGGTTCCTCCTGGTTCCTCCGAGCCAGTAGCAGTGATGATATGACGTCACCAAACCGGTCCTGCCCCCCCGCCCCCCCACATTATGTTTACCTTTTATTTGGCCCCACCCCCACTCTATTACTGCCTCCTGAGTCCTAGCTGATGGCTAGAGGGAAAAAACCTGTTTAAACTCTTGCCGCGGGGCTTCAAAGAGCCACCCTACGGCTGTTCAGTGGTAAAAGGCAGTTTAGTGGTAGACCAGTACCTCCAAAAACAAATGAGTAGACCGGTGCCTGCAAAAACAAATGGGTAGACCTGTGCCTGCAAAAATACATGAGTAGATCGGTACAGCTCTGCAAGCAGTTAACAGCTTGGTAGACCAGTACCTCTGCTAAATCCTAAAGAATTGTCACATGACCATCAAGCCATGCCCACAAAATCAGCCACGCCCACAGAACCGAGAGTAAAAAATTTTAGAACCCACCCTTGGATCTTATGGTGTTTTATTTTGATGTGTCTTGTTGAGTCTCTGGCTTCTAATAAAGTCATCCATCCATCCACCCACCCACCCACTATCCGTTCACTGATCTACTGTAGATGTTTCTCTAAAAGATTCCTCTGGTGTTTTCCTGTTGTAGCCAATCATAGAGCTTCATTACAACTGCCTGGTATCTAATTTATTGATACTAGTCAGCGGTGGGTTTCTAATATTCTTACCACCCATTTGCCGCAGGTGCGCACGCTCGCTTGGCGTGCATGCGCGCCTTCTAAGCTTGTGCACAGCCTCAAAAACATGCCTAAATAGGACGTCATAGAGCCAGGGTGGCAATCTCCGCCCGAGCAATCTCCGCCCGAACCAGTACGAACCAGCTGAATACCTCTGATACTAGCCAATTGATTTGTCTGTGTTCTGGTCATTTCTATCACATCTCAGTCCTCTACGTAAATAACAGAATAACAGAGAGCTGGAGTTCTTCTAGTCCAAACCTCTGCACAAGCTCAAGCCGGAGACCCTATACCAGGGGTCAGCAACCTGCGGCTCTGGAGCCGCATGTGGCTTTTTCGCCCCTCTGCTGTGGCTCCCTGTCACTCAGAATATGCGTCACAACTGCCAATGTGCGACGCCTGCCGGCACACAATTTATTGACTTTTCAACCCCCGGTGGGCCAACCATGGATAAATCCAAGAAAAGAAAAGTTTCAGAAAACAGAACGTTTAATTCGACTACATATCCTAGTGTCAGCATCCCAGCACTGACATATATAAAGAGGGGAGAAGCTTGAACTTTTGCCTACTAAATCCCTTTGAAGATTCTGTCTCCTCGGAGATGGGAGAGGGGAGGAGACA